CTCCTCCCAGCAGCCCTAAGAGTCATGCCATCACTAATACTCCATGGAAGCTGCTTCTCGGCTCTGACATCTAGCTACAGTTCCCACGTCTGGGGAGAGGGTTCCTATTGGGGTGGGGGCCTTCCGCATGTCTCTCCCCTCCCACAACCCCCAGTTTCACTCTCAAAGGTCCTAGCACCTTCCAGGTGAAGGCACAGCCTGGGTTGGTGCCCCTTGGCATTACCTGCACAGCTGTCCCTGGAGGCCACAGAATGCACTATGGGCAGGAGAGCGGGCTGGGGCCCTGGCCGGAGTCTCGCCGCGCAAGACAGGGACAGGACGGGCACTCACATGGCTGCGAGTCTCCCTGTTGCCACAGGAACAGCCTGAACTGAATGGCCCTTTCATGGGACAGTGGGAGGCAAGCCGATTGGCTGGGATCCCCCATACCCCTCCCTGCCCAGTGCGGGGCCCCTGCTGCCCAGCTTCTTTCACTGTTTACCCAGAGCTGGCAAGTACAGGCACGCAGCTCCAGGCAGCGCCTCCCCAGGTGTCCGCCACCTTGGACAACAGGGGCAGTCCCCTGCCCAGCTCCTCTTCCTGGCCATCTTCACTGAGGTGTCTGGACCCTTCCTTCTCTGTCAGAGATTCCTGTCATTTTGCACAGTTTCCCTCTCCTGGGAGGTGCAGCAGCACTCCTCTGCACAGAGGCCTGGGCTTCCTGTCAGGACATGTGAGCCAAGCAGCTGTCACCCCAGCCGGCTGGTGCTGGTCACCTCTGAACCAGGCCCCAGGCATGCTGAGTACTTCACATGCAGCTTCTGAGTCCATCTTCTCTGCGGCCTCACATCAGCTCTCATCGGCCCTCGCCATGTAACACATTCTTCTAGGTGTGCTTCATACACAGAGCACCCCAAAAAGTCTTAGTGTGGGTTTAAGCTGGAGTTCTTTCAGACATAAATGTCTCCAACTTACACACCTCTTTGGACAGATTAAATTATTTAAATTAAAATTAAAAAAACATTCACAATTAGAAAATAAATATATAAGACATTTAAATATGGAAACTTTCAAATGAAGTTTTTAGCATTTGTATTTCTGAAGTTATTAAAGCTTAAAACTGCACTAAGGCTTGGGACACAGTGTATTAACTCACTGAACCCTCCCGACTCCTTTAAGCGGTAGGTGCTGTTATAATATCCATTTGCAGATGAGGAAATTGGCGATGCTGGGAGTGATGTGGATTTCCCAAAGTCACACTGGGAGCAGTGGCAGAGCTGGGCTGGACCTGTGCTCTATGCTCTGTCCGCTATAGCTGGCCTGAAGCCCAGACCCCTGCTTCACTCTTCCCTGGCTCTCCATGGGACGAGTCGGGACTGGGACCTGTAGGTGGGGTTTGAGGGAAGGACCGCCACAGGATCCAGGTGTCCGGCCTCCGGCATCTCTACACTTCCAAGACAAGGCAAAGAAATGGGCCTCCAGGCAGTCCTGGATCCTTAAATTCTCTTTTCCAACCACCTCTGCACAAGTACTCTCCTGGCGTCCCCTCCCCACGGGAGAGCCCTGGTCTCCTTCCCTCTCCTGTAGGTACAACATGGGGTGTACAGACTCCGGCAGGAGCAGCCCTCTGGATTTTCCACTGCAGGCGAATGAAAGTGAAGCCAGGTGCAACTCGAGCCCTAGAACAATACTGATCGGCCGCGAGATGGTCCAGGAAGCCTCCATTTCACCCACTGTGCCAAGCCCCTGTGTGTTCCCTGGCAGCAGCATCTACCCCAGCTCAGAGCCTTGGGTCCCTGGCCTGGTTATGAGCAAGTCCCTAGCCTCCTACCCTGGCTGCAGCTTGGCCCACTCCTCAAGGTACCCATGCTGGGTGAGTCAGGGGTTAAAATGAACCCCGTCCCCCTGGGGCAGCCAACCCCTTTGCTTCAGCCACTGTCACTTCCTGTTGCTCATGTGAAGGGCTCCCTAACCTGCCAAGCCAGGGGAGGAACTTGCTCCCCAGGAATTCCAGGCACTCCTGGCCCTGGGGGCAGGGGATGGGTGATGCCCCACATCACCCATCCCCTGCCCCCAGGCTTCTCTCTGCCTTCATGGCTTCTCTCTGCCCAGATCTGCTTGGCTTTCTGAGGGTGAAAGCCTGCTTTGCTACTGGGGCCTGGATAGAGAACCTCTAGCTGAGTTTCAGAAGCATGCCTAAACAGGGTTAAGTCTTCCCTCCTACTCAGGTGCCCAGAAAAGGTGAGTGGGGAGTCCCAGCCAGTCCCGCCAGGTGGCTGGGAGTCTCCACAGTGGTGACCTCAGAGCCTCCTGAAGCCACTTGCTAACAGCATCAGAATGTGCTGACCTTGAAGGACAAGGCGGGTGAGAGGGGCCCTGTCTCCTTCCATCTGCACTTTGACCCGCCCTCCCAGCTGCTCCGGTCACCTGCTGCACTATCTGGGCACAAGTGTCTGGTCCTAGAGGATGGGATGAGGGAATCCTGGCAGGTGTAGAGGACGTGGGTAGAGTAGGGGATTGTGGGGGCAGGGGCATATTTATGCTCAAACAGTCCTTGAACTCAGCCTACTCCTCTCAGGCCCCAGGGCCTCGGCTGGCCCCCTCCTCTCCAGCCTGTCACTAGGCTCTGTCTATCAGGGGCTAGCACCCACTGATCCACCAGCTTAATCCTCTTGCCTGCCCTGGCAAGGGGTCATCCAAGGGAATTTGGGTCCATTTCTCTTTCTCCTGCTCCCAGTAGTTACCCAAGAGCTGGGGGAGGGGAGGAGGTAAGATAAAGAGATTGGAGATTAAGGCAAGAATCCTGACTGGTGGAGAAGAAGTGGGTGGGCCCAGGGCAGTTTCTATAGGGTGCTCCTTGATTTGGGGTTGTGAGTGGGGTGGGCATCTCTATGCTTCCAAGACAAAGCAAAGAAATGGGCCTCCAGGCAGTATTGGGATCCTTAAATTCTCTTTTCCAACCACCTCTACCCAGGTACTCTCCTGGTGTCCCTTCCCCAGGGGAGAACTCTGGTCTCCTTCCCTCTCCTCTAGGGCCTTATCTTTCCTCTGTTCTCAGCCTCCGGAGGAGCCTTTGGTCTTGCCCCTGACACCCACCAGGCCCAGTGGAGTGGCCTCTTACATGCTATCCTAGATACACTGATGTCTTTCCTCTAGGTAGAGTCCCAGACAAGCTCAGATACCAAAGGGGCAGCTACTGACCTGTGTCCAGGGGCACTGGATGGGAGCTGGGGGCTTCTTCTTCCACAGCAGGGCAGGGAATGCAGTGGAAAGTCCAGAAGCTGGAGCCTGACTCCGGGCTGGGTAATCCGGAGCTCAGGTTACTGACTCCGATATATATAGTATCTTATCTGACCTCGCACACTCGCAGAGATGGTGAGCGCAACTCACTTGCATTCCAAGCCCCGGGAGAATTAAAGGGGCAGTGGCGTACCCACCCTTGAGGGGCTGCCCTTTCAGGCCAGTGCCAGCCAAGGAGGTCTGTAAGGACTCTTGGAAGGGGGGCATTTTGAAGGGGAACAATGGGGAGATTCAAGAGGAAAGAGGACTGAAAAGAGCACGGAGGGGTGGGGGTGGAACTTGAGACAAAAAGACGGAGAAAGTGGATTTTCCAGAGCAGTCAGTCACAGGATTAGAGAACAGGCAGAAGCCATACTGTTAGCCCCACTCTTAATTTTGAGATAGAGTAAACCTAAAGAAAGAAAGCAGCTTGCTCAAGGGCATATACAGATAGCCAGAAGCAGAAAGGGGACTAGTACTCAGGTTTCAGTCCAACGTTCTTTTCTAATGGACTTCTCGGCCTGGGCTTGGAGGCTAGTTCTTTCCCTTATTGGCTCCAAAATAGTGGATAAGTCACTTAAGTTCTCTGAATCTTAGCTATTTAATCTACAAAACAGGAATAATAATAATAATGGTCTATCTCAGTTGTGAGGATTAAATAAATTAATATTTGTAAATTTCCTGGCCCATAGTAAGAGTTCAATAAACATGATGATTATATTGAATACTTCCACTTATTATAATTAGTGGTATTATTAGTAATGGCACCTTACCAGGAGAACTTTCCTAGGGAGAAAAGGAAGGTTACTCCTGGGGAAGGGTTCTTTTCTGTCTTTCTTTCTTTTCTTTTCTTTCTTTCTTTTTTTTTTTGAGACAGAGTCTCCCTCTGTCTCCCAGGCTGCAGTGTAGTGGCATGATCTCGCCTCACTGCAAGCTCTGCTTCCTGGGTTCACACCATTCTCCTGCCTCAGCCTCCTGAGTAGCTGGGACTACAAGTGCCTGCTACCATGCCCAGCTAATTTTTTTGTATTTTTAGTAGAGACGGGGTTTCACCATGTTAGCCAGGATGGTCTCGATCTCCTGACCGCGTGATCCGCCCGCCTCGGCCTCCCAAAGTACTGGGATTACAGGCATGAGCCACTGCTCCTGACCGGACGTGTGCCTTTCTAATGCCAGAGAACAGTCCCAAGGTTTTTTGAACTGACCATGTCCCATAACCGGGAAGGGCAAACAAGGCTTGCCATCTTCCTAGATGTCCAGTCCACCAAGCAGAGAAAGGCCAAGCCCATTTGGGCTCCTTCCCCCTTTGCCTAGAAAAATACGGCAAGCACAGCTTCCCCCAGACCACCAGGAGAATGCTTGGCCCCTCTGGGGTGGTTCCACTCTACCTGTGGGAGGGCTCAGGATTCCAGGGCCACAGAGCCGGGCTGGGCAGGGTCACAAGAGGAAGGAACAGGGTTCTTAGCCTCTCTGGCCTTGGTGCACTTGTCTGCTCCCAGGACGTTTTCTCGATGGCTCTCCCCCAGGACTGGGAGTACCCAGCTTGGTGCCTCCACCCTGTCTTAGCACAGGCTACTGACTCAGCCCAGGTCCTGATGATGCACTTCAGAGGACGCCCTCATTCCAGTCCTCATTCTGACTCTAGTCTGACTTGCATCTACAGCATCAAAGGAAGGGGCCTGCCTCGACCTTAGTCCAGTCAGTTCTCCTTTCCTCTGCTTTACCGGGGTCCATCTGGGGGATGTTCTCATGCCCATTCCGGGGGAGGTGAGCAGCCCCTACCACTACCTCCAGCTCAGTCCCATTCTAAAGGCAGCCAGGTCAGGAGGTAGGATGTTCACTCTTCAGGGAAGGGCTGGAATGGGTTGGCTAGGGCTTCCCTTGACTGTTGAGAAGTTGCTCTCTTCGGAACACCGAGTGCATGCTTCTGGTTTGGGATTGGTGAGAATTTCAAAGCTGCCTTTTTCTGGTTAGGGATTGGTGGAAAATCTCCCCTTCCGCTTAATTGTTGCACACCCCATGCCCCCAACCCCCTTTAGCAAACTGACCAGATACAACCCGGGGAGCTTTAAGAGCAGCGAGTGAGCTGCACGCACACATGGGGAGGGGTGTCAGTGTCACTCTCGGGCCACATACCACCGATATACCAGGGCACAGCGAGGAGGACCCGCCGAAGCAGCATTTCCTTAGAATACACTGATCAACACACAGATGGCATTTCCTGGCACCCTGGGCTGTCAGCAGGCAGCCCTCACACAACTGGCAGACACAGCTGGAGCGTCCCTGCACAGCCGGCTCTCTCCCTATATTTCTAGTGTTCACTCTGCCCAGGCTGTCGTGAACACCTTACTTTCTGAGCCCCAAACCGGCACTGATCGCCGAATTCCCCCTCCCCGATTCCCGACAGGTGGCACGTACCTGCCTCTTCTTGGAGGATGGACGAGTCGAACCGGGCACAAGCATGGAGCTGCGGGTGAGTCCCGGCTGGCGCTGGCGCTGGCGCTGGCGCGGCGCAGTCCGCAGCTGACGCAGAGAGCTCCCCGGCCTCGGCTCCTGCCTGCCTCTCTCCCACCTCCGCCGGGGTCCCAGAAGGGACCTCCCCGGGAAATCGGCGCCACCCAGCGGGCAGCCGCCTCATCGCGCCTGGGCCGGCAGAGCCACACCCCCGCGTCTCGCGTCACTGAGTCGCGTCACGGCTATTGGCTTGTTCCTATTGTGGCGTCATTAGAGCCCGGCCCGGCTGGGGTCTCCCAGGCAACCGATATACACAGAGAACCACGTGGAGGAAAAGCACGCGAGTTTGGAGTGGGTGGAGCAGGAACAGAGGTGGACTGGAATGTCACACGACGGGGCAGCTGGAAGGTATTGGGAAAGAAGAGGGGTCATGGGAGAAGGCTCGGAACTTGAGCCCCGGGGCATATCAACTTCCAGTTTTTAGGGAAGGCTAAACATCCCCCACTCCCCTTCTCACCGGACTGGGGGAGGTCCTGTTCCTCAGCCTCTTCTCTTTTTCTTTACTCTCAAAGACACTCGCCGCTCATTTTACTTCCATGGGACCAGTGATTAGTGATGAGTGCCCGAGTGGGTAAATGGAGGCACTGAGTCAATGGAAGGAATTCTCTTTGGTCTTTTCAAGAAAAAGCCGAGACAACACTTGAATTTTTGCTGATCCCGTTACTTTTGTGTAACCTTCTCCCCACTCCCCGGATGTTGATGAGGAAAACTGCACAACCAGGTAGCTGGGTACCAAGGCAAATCCACGTTTTCAACTTCAGCTGCTCCATCAACCCTTGCAGGTGCCCTTAACGCCTCCCATCTTCACCATAGACCTCTCTCTCCATTGCTACTCTCCTCAAGTCCTTCCTTCTCTTCTATTTCCCAGAGAAATCAGACGCAATCAGGAGGAGAATACTTAAATTTCTACCTGCAAACATGTCTGAATCCATTCTTACCAGGAGCAGTGAAAGAGGCACCCCTGTTCTTGTCCAAGACGATTCCCTTCTCGATTTCAACTCTTTTTTTTTTTTTTTTTGAGACGGAATGTCGCTCTTGTTGCCCAGGCTGGAGTGCAATGGCGTAATTTCAGCTCACTGCAACCTCCTCCTCCTGGGTTCAAGCAGTTCTCCTGCCTCAGCCTCCCGAGTAGCTGGGATTACAGGCACCCACCACCATGCCTGGCTAATTTTTGTATTTTTAGTAGAGACAGGGTTTCACCGTGTTGGTCAGGCTGGTCTCGAACTCCTGACCTCAGGTGATCCACCAGCCTCAGACCCCCAAAGTGCTAAGATTACAGGCGTGAGCCAGTGGGCCTGGCCCCAGCTAATTTTTTGTATTTAGTAGAGATGGGGTTTCACCATGTTATATTTCCTTAGGGCCCTCATTCCATCACTTCATTTTACAGATGGATATTGGACATGCCAGTCACTCGTCTAGAAACTGGAGATATAGCAGGGAACAAAACAGGCACAATCCCTGCCCTCAGGGAGCTTACATTCTAGTAGAAGCAGGACAATAAAAAAGTAGAATATGTAATATGTTAGATGGTGCTAAGAGCTATGGGGGCACATCAAGCAAGGAGGAAGTGTGTTCAGAGAAGGTAACATTCAAGTGACCTGAGGGAGGCTAGGCGTGAACCACATGTAAATGTAGGGAAAGAATCTTCTAGGCAGAGGGAAGAGTAAAAACAAAGGTCCTGAGGTGGGAGCAACCTGCCACTTTCGAGGAAGAACAAAGTCAATGTGGCTGGAGTGAAGAGACAGAAAGATAGGGAAAGAGTGGGAGATGTGATCAGAGAGGTAAGGGAAGGACCAAACCTGCATGTCCCCAAGGTCTTTCTGAGGACTTTGGCTTTTATGGAGCTATTGAAAGGTTTTGAAATAGGGGTGTCCAATCTTTTGGCTTCCCTGGGTTATGGTGGAAGAAGAATTATTGTCTTGGGCCACATATAAAATACACTTAACATTAAAGATAGCTGATGAGCTTTAAAAAAATCACTAAAGGCCGGGCGCGGTGGCTCACGCCTGTAATCCCAGCACTTTGGGAGGCCGAGGCGGGCGGATCCCGAGGTCAGGAGATCGAGACCATCCTGGCTAACACGGTGAAACCCCGTCTCTACTAAAAATGCAAAAAATTAGCTGGGCGAGGCGGCGGGCGCCTGTAGTCCCAGCTACTCGGGAGGCTGAGGCAGGAGAATGGCGTGAGCCCGGGAGGCGGAGCTTGCAGTGAGCCGAGATCGCGCCACTGCACTCCAGCCCGGGCGACAGAGCGAGACTCCGTCTCAAAAAAAAAAAAAAAAAAAAAAAAAACCACTAAAAAACCTCATAGTTTTTTTCTTTTTTTTTAAGAGACAGAGTCTTGCTCTGTCGCCCAGGCTGGAGTACAGTGCCCCAATCTTGGTCCACTGCAAGTTCTGCCTCCCGGGTTCACGCCATTCTCCTGCCTCAGCCTCCCAGGTAGCTGGGACTATAGGCGTCTGCCACCACACCCAGCTAATTTTTTGTATTTTTAGTAGAGACGGGGTTTTACTGTGTTAGCCAGGATGGTCTCGATCCCCTAACCTCATGGTCCGCCCACCTCGGCCTCCCAAAGTGCTAGGATTACAGGCGTGAGCCACTGGGCCGGGCAAAACCTCATAATGTTTTAAGAAAGTTTATGAATTTGTGTTGGGCCACATATGGCCCGCAGACTGCGGGTTGGACAAGCTTGTTTTGAGCAGAGGAGGGACAGGGTTCCTACCTTTCGCTACTGTGTAGAGAACAGATCTGAAGACAGCAGAAGCGCGAGACCATTGCTGAAGAGACCAGAAGCAGGAGACCATTTAGGAGGTCATTGTGAGCCTCTGGTTAGTGTGGTAGCAGAAGAGGTGATTCAAAGTGGTGGATTTTAGAAGTATTTTGAATGTGGACTAACAGGATTTTCTGATGGATTAGGCAGTGTGGGGAGGAGGGAGGAATTTTTCACCTGAACTTTAACTGAGAAGGGGAAGGCTGTGGTAAGAGAATCGCTGGAACCTGGGAGGCAGCGGTTTTGGTGAGCCGAGATGGTGCCACTATACTCCAGCCTGGGTGACAGAGCGAGACACAGCCTCAAAAAAACAAAAAACAAAAAACGTATGTCTCCTAGGCATCCAAATGGAGATGTCAAGAAAGCAGCTCATGTGCAAGTTTGGTGTGGTCTGGGCTGGCGATAAAAGATTGAGAGTCATCAGCATATGGAAGTTATTTAAAGCCAGGAGATGAGAAGAATTACCAAGGGAGCAAGTGTAGATAGAAAAGATGTGCAAGGACTAAATTCTGGAGCTCTCCAATATGAGCTTGAGATCAGTTGGAACCATCAGAGAGACGGAGGCATAGGTCAGTGTAGTGAGGAAAAAAACCCCAAGAGATGGTGGTATGCTGAAGGCCAAGAGAAGGAAACTTACTGAGGAGGAGGGAAAGGTCAATTGTGTCAAATGTGGCCCATAAAGTAAGTAAGATGAGTTTGAGAATTGAATGATTGATTGATTTTTTTTTTTGTTTTATGTTTTGTCCCTCCCTTGCCCCCCCACTGGAAAGTATATAGAGCAAAGATAATTGATTGAAGGTCATTGGTGATTTTGACAAGAACAGTTTTGGTGGAGTGGTGGGGGTAAAAGTCTGATCGCTGATAAGTTTAAGAAAGAATGGGAGGAGAGGGATGGAAACAACTCTTTGGAGGCAACTCTTTGGAGGAGTTGTGTTGTAAAGGAAGGAGAGAAATTGGCTGGGAGCTAAAAGGAGAAGTGAGGTCAAGAAAACTTCTTAAGTGGGAAAAAATAGTTATATGTTATATGCTGATGGGGAAGAGCCAGTAGAGAGTGAAAATTGACAATGCAGTGGGGAGTGAGGAGAACGTCTAGAGAAATGTCCCTGATGAGGGGAGAAGGGATTGGACAGAGTCCAGAAGCAGAGGGGCTGGCTTTGGTTAGAGGACTGATGGCTCATGCAAAGTAAAAAGAGAGAAGGCATGATATTTGGGTAAAGTAAAAAGAGAGAAGGCATGATATTTGGGCATAGATGTGGGAAGGCGGATTGATATGGGAGAAGCTGGTGGATATTATCTCTTCGAGGCCTTTTTTTTTTTTTTCCCTCTTTGTGAATTAGGAAGCAGGGTCAGCTGACTGTGAGGATGAAGGGAAAGGCTTAGAAGTTTGAACCTGGAGGAGGAGTTCTAAAAAAGTCACTGAGAGCAGTGATTCTCAAACTTTAGTGTGTACCAAAACCACCTAGAGAGCCTATTAAAGCCCTCCCACAGTCTGGGCAACATAGAGCGACCCTATCTCTTCAAAAAATAAAAAAATTAGCCAGGTGTGGTGGTGTGCGCCTATGGTCCAGCTACTCAGGAGGCTGAGATGGGAGGATTGCTTGAGCCTGGGAGGTCAAGGCTTCAATGAGCTGTGATTGTGCCACTGCACTCCAGCCTGAGCTACAGAGTGAGATGCTATCTCAAAAGAAAAAAAAAAAAGGCCCTCCCTTCCCCCAGACATTCTGATTCAGTAGGTCTAGGATGGGCCCGGGAATCTGCATTTCTAACAAGTGCCAGGTGATGCTGCAGTCACCCGTACGGGGATGACCCTTTGAGAACTGCTGTGTGAGAGAGTGGGGCAGTGACTGGACTCGAATTCCCACAAATGCAGTGTGGTTGTCAGGCAGCATCAGGGGCCCAGCTGAGGTTAGAAATCATGACTTGAAAGTGTCTCCAATCACATCCCACTCACAATTGCTTGCACGTGTTTGGAGTCCTATCTCTTTAAAACTTCCATTTTCTACTGACTTTTCCTTTGCCGTGTAAAAGGCTCCACACCCTTCCTCTTTAAAAAATGAAAATCTTTAACTTAGGTTCTAGCTCTCCCCTCTTCACAATTTTCTTGGCAGAGTTGTGCATGCTGTATTTCCCCACCTCCTAGTCTATGCAGCATCTGCAACACGTCTGCTCTCCCTCCAACCTCAGGACACTTCTGTTAGGCATCATCACTGATCTAGATGCTAATTCCAATGGGCACTTTTTAGTTGTAATCAGTCACTTGACCACCTACAAATCTGATACCTCCAACCATTTCCTCCCTCAGCTGTCTCCTCCTTTAGGTTTTGTGGACACACTGCTTTTCTGGTTTTCCTCCTGACAGCTGTCACCTCCTCATTCTCCTTTTCCCCTGGTGTTCCTTTATCCTCCTTTAAGGCAGTATAGCACAGTGGTTGTTATATGTGCAGGTTGTAGATTTACTGGGATAACTTCTGATTTCTCTGGTTCCTAGCTGTGAGACCTGAAACATTTATATCCATTTCTTCATATATTTACCAAAGTGAGGCTGGGCATGGTAGCATGTGCCTGTGGTCCCAGCAGCC